CTCCTCCTCCTCCTCCTCCTACCCCGCTGCTGCCCCGGCGCTCGCATCATCGACCTTCTCCCAGATATGCCCTTTCCAAAGGCAACGCGGCCCAGTGCCCCTTCGCCGCCTTCTCCCCCTAGACCTTTTCCCGCGCACGTCCGGCGCCGTCGACGCGCGCGATGTCGCGGGAGCACCGACTTCCGGCGTTCGCCAATAAGAACCCGACTTCGGGACCCTTGCGCCGCTTGCGTCGGTTCTCGATGCTGACGCGCTTCATACCCCTTTCCGAATTCCAGTCGTTTGTCCATCTCTGACATCCACGGAGTGCGTGTAGGGACGCCCACGCAGTCGCAACCCCTCTCACGCTCAGGCGCGGAGCTTCGCACGCCAGACGCGATGGATTCCCCTAACGATCGTTCATTTTCCGCACCCGCTCCATGGATTGTCGCCGCGAGGACTTGTCGTGCACGCCATCAACCGGAGCGCGCGACCCGCTGCGCGCGTCGGCGCGCGCTTCATCCTCAACGCGGCGCCTTGGAAGCAGCCCTTGTCTTCGTCGTCGCGGGATCGACAAGATTGCGAACCTGCCGGCGAAACCACGCTGAGCGGGCCCATCGCCGCGACCAAGCGATAATTCACCCTTTTGAACCCCCGAAGTGCGACAACGCCCACGAGTCTCACACAATATCGCCTTTTCGCGATTTTGATGTTTACAGTGACGCGGCACGCGGCACAGCCCCGGCGGACTGCGCCACGACACACCCCTCACGGGGGACCAGCTTATGGACGCCGGCGCTCCCTTCGAGATCATGGCTCTCGGAAGCCCTTGGTTGGTCATGGCCCAGCCGGTAAAGCCCTCGGTTGCTTATGGCGCAACCGGCAAAGCCCTTGGTTGTTTCAGGTACAACCGGTAAAACATTCATTGCCGCGCCCCGCGCCGCGCGCCCCCGAGGGAAGGGCCCGCGGGGCTGGGGCCAACTGTAGCCTTGAGGCTACCCAAGGCTACTTGAGCCTGCGGCGCGGCGTCTGGCCTTTGCGGACCGCCACCCCATCTCCTCGTCGTCAGCATCGCCGTCGACGTCCTCCTCGTATTCGTCCTCGACGTGCCCCTCCTCCTCCTCCGCCACCTCCTCTGCGTACGGTTCACTGCATCGTGCCTGTTTGCTCCTCGTCGCGCATTTCCTGCTCCCTCGTCGTCCTCCTCGTGTATCTCCTTACAGTCATCATAATCCGCGTCCTCCTTGTGCTCTTGCACCTGCGCCCCCCCTTCCCAGACTCTCACCCGGTGCTTCACCCCCGCCGTATTTCTACATGGAATGGCGTGACACACTCGGGCACATACCTTGGCTCGCCCCGACGCGCGCGCGTTCACGTCTGCCCGCGACGAACCCGCGCCGGAGCGTTTCGGAACATCCCTTTCGAATCTACGAACTTAGTCTGGCGATCATGCGTAGCCAACTCCTCCTGATTCCGTCTCCATCCTCCTAACGACCATCGCGCTCACCTCAATCCACGCGCATGGCTCACTGGGCTCCGACGCAGGGCGAGGATCAACACCAAGGCAACGCGCGTAGTGCACAGGCGAAATGCCAACTGGAAAACGCAAATGCACAAGAGACCGGAACAATATTGCCAGATCCGAGCGCCTACGCGCAACTCACTGAGAAATAATCGGCACACGCATGCGACTGCAATGCGCGGTTCACATGCTCTTGCGCGCCGCCAGAACTTCGGCCGCGCATCGTCCGACAAGCAAGGGACAGCAGGCGGCCATGCAGGAGCTGGCCGAGTCTTCTCGGACGCGCCGCCTCGGCCGTCTCGAAAAGAGAGAAGGCCGGCACCACGGGGCCCTCCCTTCAAGCGAAGAGGACGAGAAGGGAGGAGGCGAAGGGAGGGGGGGGCGGGACCAGGCAAGAGGAGGACGGGGGACACAGAAGAGGGAGGAGAAAAAGCTGGAGGAAGAATGAGGAGGATGAGAAGAAGCGACGAGGAAGACCAGAGGAGAGGAGTGACAACGGAAAGGGGGGTCCGAAGGGAAAAGGCCACTTGCCTCCGCCCCACGCAGGCCCATGGCTAATGGTCATTGCCTTTGCATTCGAGGCGCGAGCCGGAACATGTGACGCCACCCCCGATGCCCACAGTAGCAACATGAAGGTTTCCCGAGGGGGGCGCGCCGCATCGCGCGTAAATATCCCTGTGCTCCTACGATGTCCCGCGATGGCCCACCGAGCTGGTCTGCCGCGCTGGTTCGGAGCGACGTGCTGATACGCCCTGCTTTTCTGGGTGCGACGCTCAACTATGCGACAGAAGCGACGAATGATAGATACAGCCACCTGCGACAGAGACGCTGACCACGGGGAACACGACGGCGTAGTTCGCACTGGCTGCCATCTGAAACTTCGCTGCGGGAAGACATGCACGATTCTTCTCTCTTGCGGCCTATGATGCAACTGCCGCGCGACGATGGCGCGCTCAATGATCTGCGACGCGCGCGGAAAGTCCGCCTTGCACAACTTCGGGTTGTCTCTTCGGTGGCGCGCCGGCAGGGGCGCTCGCCCCCCGGTCTCTTCGTTCTTCAAATGCACATGGTTCTGCTTCCTCTCCTTCAGGCACTGCGCGTCCTCGTCGAGGCGCCCTTTCCCCAATGCCATGGCGCCGTCTGCAGCCCGCTTTTTTTAGTTGCTTCCGGGCCCAGGGTGTGACTCTGAAGCGCGGGCCTTCAAATGAGACCGCCCTCGGTTTTGAACTCCGGCCACGACTCGTCCAACTTCTGGTCGATCTCCTCCGGCGCCAGCTGCGTCGAATAAACCTGGCGACGCGCGCGACTTTTATGCTCCAAATACTCCCCTGCGATCTTCTTCCCCCGCCCTTCCACCTCGCCCCGGGCGATTTCGAATACCTCATCGCGTGCGCCGGCGCAGGCACTGGGTGAATACCTGGCAGTGCGCGCGAAGGGACCCCGTGGACTTCTGTGCTTCGATGGACACGCAGCACGCATCGACGCGCCCGAACGCGCCCCCTCCGGGCTTCACATTACTCCCGAACAGGCCCTGGCAAGGGGCCCATCTTCCGCCTCATTGCACCGCGGGCAATTCGAACAGGTCCGCAGCCCGAACAGATGACGGAGCGTCGCGCCCACCAGGATGCGGGATCCGTAGACGCTGGCCATGGGCTCTCGCGCAAGTACTCGTCTGCGCTCGCTCCACGGCGGCGCTCCAGCCTGCGCCGCACCCATCGACAGGACCACGCGCACCCCGTCGAGGTCGGGGGCTACACTCGGCCAGGCTCGACCCCCCGCCAGTCGCGAGTGCGCTTCATCAATCGGATGCCTTGCGCGCGGGGTCCTGCCGTCGCGCGCGGGACAGCCGGACCACGAGCAGGTCGCGGCCTTCGCCGGGCGAGAAAGTTACGAAGATGGGAACGCCGCAACGCACGCGCAGCGCTCTCGTCTCAAGCCGCATGACTCGACGCGCTTCCTGCGCCCCAGAAAGTCGCCGCGAAGTGTGCTCTATGTGCGCCAGCAGCTTGTGGGCGGCTTTCCCCAACCATGGCGCGTGCCGCACTTTTGCCACGTCGCCCTTTACTCTCTGTTTGCTATTGTTGATGTCTACATACTTATCGTCGAGCGCGCGATATATCTGCCTTGCTCATGCCCCGATTTCCGCGGGATTTACCTGTTCCACCTCGCCCGTGGCGTTCGCTGACACGCACGTGAACCACGTCCTGTCCAGGTTCACGGCCGATCGAAATACGAGGTTCCAAGACGCGAAGCCGAAATGCCAATCGCGGCGAATCTGGCTCTCCACGCGACGACTCATGATCCGCACCCACAGCGGCAGCTCCACCCGCGGAGCACCATTCCCCCGTCGCTGGCGCGGACGCCCCATGAACTCTGGGCAATCTGGCATTCCCGCGCAATACTTGAACAAGAACGCGAACGCGACGCCGAAATACCAGGGTTCGAACTGACCCACCATCACGTTTCCAGCGCGCAAGCGGAGACGATCCACGCGCTTCTCTTCGCGCCCGGCCTGCGTCAGCATGTCGCGCTCCACTTTCTCTCGCGACGCCTGATCCGCGCCCGAGGCCGTTCCCTCGCGCGCGCAGGTGCGTTTGCTTGCCTGTTCTGCATTCCCGTCGCCTCCCTCCACCTCGCTGGAGTTCGACGTCTCGTCGGCCCCGCCACGCGCGCAATCCTCATCTAGCCGGTGCACGAAGGTCCGCACGGTCTCAATCCGTTGCGCCTTGATGTCTCCCTCGTCGAAACTGCTCTTCTCACACACCACGGCGTTCGCCTTCGTGGTATCCAAAATCAATGCCGCCTCCCGTTGTCCGTCGGGCCTCGGCACGGGCGTCGCCGCCTTCTGCATTTGGATCTTCCCAAGCGCGTCGCCCAGGGGTTCGGGGATCTTCTGACACGGGTCAATCCAGACCCGGGTCAGCAGGAAACCAAAAACTGCAACGCAGGAAAAAAAAATTGCAACGCAGGTCTTCGCAGACCCGGGTCAGCCAATAGGCGCGGCCGCCTCGCGGCCACGAGCGGCCCCCTAACCCGGGTCAGCCAGAGGGGGTCTTCGCAGGATCCTGCAGGATCTGGCGCCCTGGCTGACCCCCGTTTGCATTGACCCCCGTCTCGAGCCTCCCGGGGGGGTACCAGGCGCATGATCTCCGGTGGCACGCCTTCCGCTGGAAACTCCATGGCCCTCTTCCGGACCTCATCCATATCCACGTTCCGGCACGCGCGATGCCCGCGAGCCTTCGCCCCCTCAATGAGATCCACGGCCGCCCTCCTGCGCACGAGAGCCTGTTGCGCGAACGTGGACTCGTCGTCGCCGCCCGACTTCAGGATCACAGACACGATGCCTGCCAGCTCCGCGCCCGTGCGTGGCAGTCGCGGCGCATGCCCCTCCGCGGCAGCCTCGTCCGCTGCGGTCAACTGCGCTAGAACGTCCGTCCACGGCATCGGGAACGACGCCGCGTTTCCGCGGGCCGCCGCGCGGACCTCGTTGCCCCCCCCCCACTTCCATGTCGAACGACACCTCCTTCCGGCATCGTTTCTCCAGCGTGAAACATACCATTAACGTGATGCAGACTGAAGCACATATCATTTCCAATACCGTTACCTTACTACCCAGGGGTGCTCAAGTTCTATGTCATAGATCCTGCTTCATGTAGAAAGACCATAATATAGATCCTGTCTGTGAAAAAACCATAGTAGGATCTATGTTTTATTCATGTGCTGATCCTCCGATCAGCACGAATAATCAGTATCCACATGCAGTAACACTGATTTAGTGTTGTAGCGCGTGGCCTTCTCCATAAAATCCTCCCTCATTTTCATCTCCTCCTCTATTTCGTTTCTCGCCGTTCGTTCCTGTCTCGTTTCATGTTATCGGTAGCTTATGCAGAGAAAGCCACTGCAGTGGCAGTGACTTTCTCTGCAGCGTTCGTTTTAGGTGAGTGGTAGCATCTGAGGCACCTGAGGAGGAGGAGAAGGAGGTTGAGGAGAAGGAGCAGGAGGAGAACGAGTGGTGGGAACAGGCATTCATGTCCTGCGTCGTCGTGGCTGTCTGCGTTTACGCAGCCATTTTGGCTGGATGACACCGCGGGGCCATCCCACGGTGTACGCGGACATCCGCGCGTACATTCGCAAAGTGCCGCTCCACATGGCGGTTCCGCGGGCCAAACGGCGGCGGAGGATGAGTGACGGAGGAGGAGGATATGGAGGAGGAGGAGGAGGAGGAGGAGGAGGAGGAGGGGGAAGGGGAGGGGGGCGAGGAGGAGGGAGAGGGGGGGAAGGACGGGGAGGAGGAGGAGGAGGAGGAGGAGGAGGAGGAGGAGGAGGAGAAGGATGTCAGGAGGAGACGAACGATGCATTTTGAAATGCAAGGTCGGCAACGAGGGAGGACGGAGGTAGAGGTCGCAGACGGCGGCGCAGAGACAGAAGAGGAGAGCAGGAGAATGAGCAGACGGCGGAGGCTGAGGAGAACATCGATGCGTTTTTGTTTTGTCCTTCGTCATTCCCTTGTTCGTCGCTCTCTCGCTGTCTCGTTCGAACGTCTTCGGGATTTGGAGCGGTCACCGCGGCCGAATTTCGTCGGGTTGGATGCGACGGCTCGACGCGGACGCATCGAGCCGTCGCATCCACCCCAAAGTTCGGGGACGGCGATTTCGAACGGCTTCAAAAAGCCCCCCCCTTTCACGAGCCCACAGGCTTCTCTCGACGCGGCGCCCGTGGCGGAGGCGACCTCGGCCGAGGCCGGCGCGACATCGGGGGCTTGGTCGTGCGAGCTGGTCGGGCGCGTTCAATCGCTCTTGTCGCACCTCCACCTCCCCGTCGCTCGGAGGAGTAGAGGAGGAGAGGAGGGGGTGGTCGAGAAGGGGGAGCAGGGGGGGAGAGGAGGAGAGGAATGGAGGAATGGAGGAGGGCCGAGGAGGAGCGACGATGAGCGAGATGAGATGAGAATGACGACAGAGGAAGGCGATGCGAAGAGAAACATTAGATGCCAGTAAATGGTAAAGTACATGATGAGGATAATTATAGGAAGAGGAGGATAAGAGGGGGAGGAGGGGGAGGAGGAGGAGGAGGAGGAGAAGGAGGAGGAGGAGGAGGAGGAGGAGAAGGAGGAGGAAGAGGAGGAGAAGGAGGAGGAGGAGGAGGGGAGGAGGAGGAGAAAGCGGGCGAGGATGAGAAGGAGGAGGGAAGGAAGACAGGTGGAGAAGGATGAGGATGCATTTGTGTCTCACTCAGGTCAATGGCAGCAGCAACGGCGCAGCAGCCGCGGCGCAGGAGGCCGCCGAGGAGACGCCAGCGCCAGCGGCGGCAGCAGCAGCAGCAGCAGCAGAGGCAGAGGAGACGCCAGCTCCAGCACCAGCAGCTCCAGCACCAGCAGCACCAGCGCCAGCAGCACCAGTGCCAGCAGTGATCTACAGCCCGACGGAGACGGAGCTCGCGCCCAACAGCCCAGCTATGTCGCCGAGCGTCGTGGCCGCCATGCCAGATAGCGTCAAGCGTTACGAGACGCTGTTCACGTTCCTGGACGCACTTCGGAAGCACTCGCCGAGTGCGGCGACCGCGCTGGAGAGGAACCCGTCGTTCTGGGCGAACCCGCAGAAGTACATCAACTTCGATTTGGCGACGCTCACGGACGGCTTCGACGCTTCCAGGCGCCAGGGTCAGCAGGAGCAGCAGACGGAGGCACGTGGCAACAAGGAGCCGATCACCAAGCTGAAGTTGCCTGTCGGGATCGCTGCCTTCGAGACGGCATCAATTGCGTCAACTGCGGCATCGACGCCGAGAAGCGCTTCGAGACCGCGGCAGGGCAGCATCCCAGACTGCCCTGAGTCCGACGACGACGACGAGGTGCCGTCCGCGCAGGTTGCAGACGCGAGCCAGACACCGTGCAGTTCGCCAGTGGAGCAGGCCGCAGCATGCAAGCAAGAGGACACTGTGGAGTACGACGCTGTGGCGACCGCTGGTAAGGCAGCGAGCGCCGCTGATGACATCGTGACTCGCCAGGAGCTCGGAACGATGCTGGAGGCGTCGATGAACGAGATCAGGGAATACGCAGATGACGTGAGCTGCCGCGAGAACAGTGACGACCAGATTGGCATCATGGAGGCTAAGATGACGGAGCTGTACCAGGGCGAGTTGGTGCAACAAGTTCACGCGCGTCGTCAGACTCCAGCAGTCGGCAGCCCAGGGAACGCGGATGGCGAGCCCATCATCAAGCAGGAGCTGCAGGACCTGTACAACATGTGGGAGGACGTCAAGAGCAAGAACTACACCTTCAAGACGGAGAAGGCACACGACTCAAAACATGAGGGGTCGGAGGGACTGGATGTATGATGATGATGATGGATGGATGGATGGATGGATGGATGGATGGATGGATGGATGGATGGATGGATGGATGGATGGACGTATGATGATGTGAGGGGGAGGAGATCATAAAACGACAATGACGGGATCACGGGAGTTGGCATGACAAGGGATTGCGATCCAGCGAGCCTGTCGGGAACCCCATCGCTGGCCACTGGGACAGGGCGCTCATGGCCGACAAAGATTGCCATGCTTCGCATGTCCGCCGTGACCATCCCTAGAGGAGACGGTGCGGAGAAACTTGAAGTTGGAATGCAAGCACCTGTGACCACTTGATATGAAACAGCACCCGAACGACCCATCCAAACCCCATCCAAACTCCATCCAAACTCCATCCAAACTCCATCCAAACTCCATCAACACGCAGCTCGCGTCCCAACGAAACTCGTGCCCAAACTGTGTGTTCGGTGAGGCTGGAATCAACAAACATATTCAAATCCGTCTCACGCGCGGCAGCGCCGCTTACAGGCGGTGGCGGATCTGCGAGCTCGATATGCAGCGGTTCGCGGCTACATGAACAAGAATGACTTCAGAGCGGAGTGGGCGAAGGCGACCCACGAGAAGTGGAGCCGGATCAACGTTAGAGAGGTCAAGACGAGCTCGACCAAGCGAGAGGTGCGAGATGGGAAATACTTATCGCTCTCTCGCATTGCCCACAAGGAGGGCGGCGGGCGCGCAGGTTACCGCGCAGCGTGCAACTACTGCACCCAGGCGGTCATGCTCGGAGACATATGGATCAAATTCGACCAGTGGACGCGGACGCCGAAGTACCTGTACATGCTCCACGGCTACGACGAGGAGTGGACGAAGTCGTGGACGGACCTGACCAGGTGGATGGAGGGCACGGGCGTCGATCACGGCAACTCCATGGCTCAGGCTCTGGCTGATGCAACGAGCGCCAGTGGCCCGCTCAGTGTGCCCAGCGGCAACGCCATCACGAACAAGAAGCATGATCGTGTTGCTGAGGAGCTCGAGAGATCAACGGGCACGGGCACGGCAACTCCAGACGAGCCGAAGAAGCAGAAGGTGACTCCGCCCACCAGCAAGCAGCAGGAGATCAGCGATGATGACGACAGCGCTCCGTTGGCTAGCGTCACCCCGCCCCGCAAGAAGGCCAAGGGCGCTGCTGGTGCCGAGGGCAAGGCAGCCGCGGCGGGCGCTGCTGGCAAGCAGGCCGAGGTTGCCGCTGGCGGAGGCGGTGGCGGCGAGGCTGCGGCAGCGGGAGCGCGCGGGGCCGCTGGTCGGCGGCGCCAGGCGCAGCAGCGCGAGGGCGACGAGCAGAAGGGGGAGGTCCAGGCCGGGCAGCCGTCCAAGAAGCGGCCGAGCAAGCCGCCAGAGGATTGCAGTTTGCTTTGAGCCAGAAGGGGGGGGAGTCAGAGGATGCGGCGGTGAATGGCAGCGGAATTGGTGGGTGGAGGGGCCAATAATATAAACAAGAGGAGGATCAGAAGGATGAGGACGAGGATGATGAAGATGAAGATGAGGAGGACGAACGGGATATGATGATAACAGCGTGCTAAACGAAACAGTCGATGCGGTGCGGAGAGACGGAGTCGACAACCGATGTCCTCGAACTCGGCCCGTTTCCGATCGATCCTTCATGACCTCCCATCCATCCCAACCCAGCACACCGTGCTTGCACTCTCCTCCTCCGAATGCGGCTTTCCAAACATATGCTCTCAGTGGGTGAACGACATCAGGCGGGTCAAGTCGGCGCACAACACTACGATGGCATCCTATAACTCCCTGTGCAAGATGATGACGACCGACAAGAAGTGGTGCTGGGCCATGAACGACAACGCGAAAGGTGTGATGGACCAGTACGCTGCTGAGGTGGGCAGGGGGGCAGGGTTGCAAGGGTGGAGTCTCAACGTCATCGACAGCGACTGTTGCGATTGCCGACGCTGGCTCGTCGTTGTCCTCGTCATCCTCGACCTCCTCCTTCTGCTCATCCTGGTCCTCCTCCTCCTCCTCCTCCTCCATCCCCCCCATCCACCTCCTCCTCCCCCCCCCCCCCCACCCCTCCACTTCCACCGCGCGGGGTTATCGCGTGATCTCATTCGGACATCTTGCATCGGCAA